GCCCCTTCTCCAGACTCCAGGCCCCGCCCCCTCCTGCAGAGACTCACGGCCCGGCCCCAGGCCGCCCCTCACTTTATTGAGGGCCGCCACGCGCTGGGCCAGCTGCGCTTCTATCTCCGGCAAGGTCTCGGCCTTCTGCAGCGTCTGCTGCAGCTTCTGCTTGGCATCATCCAGCCACTCGGCCAGCTGGCGGCTCTTCTCTTCGCTCTAGGGTAGGACAGGGACGGGATTGGGGAGGAGCTGGGTCTCCCGGCAAGGACCTCGTCCTCAGCGCCCCTTCCCGGCCCCCGGCGCCCTCACCTGCCGGTACAGCGAATCCTTGCTGGCCAGCTCGTTCTCCAGCTTGTCGTTGGCGTCGTGGAGGGACGTGGCCTCGCGCTGGGCACTCAGGTAGCGCTTCTCCAGCGTCGTGATCCGCTCCTCCATGTCCTCCCGCTGCGCCAACGCCTGCAGAGGTGGCAAAGGGCCGAGTGGACTACAGCTCCCCAAAGGCCCTGCGGGGAGCCTAGGCCTAGAACCCCAAATCAGGCACCCCAGGGAATCCTGGGAAATGCAGTCCCCTGGCTTCCGGGCGTCAGAAAGGTGGAACCAAACCTGACAAGAGCCCCAGGGAATAGCCAACGTGAGGTCCCTGCCACTTGGAAAGTTAGAGTGGTGGTACCACACTGCCCGCGAGCAGCACTGGCTTAGACCCTCCCCATGTGAATGGCCTTGAGGCTCAGGGGATGGGAACTCTCCTCCACTCTTCTTGGGCCACTTGCCTCAAAAACCCAGGGCTTAGATGTTTCGGCAACTTGTGGCACAGCCCAGGCTTAGAGTCACAGAGCAAGTGCCCTAGGGCAGCGGTTGTCAACCTTCTGGCCCTTTAAATACAGTTCCTCATGTGGTGACCCAACCATAACATTATTTCCGTTGCTACTTCATCACTGTCATGTTGCTACTGTGATGAATCGCCATGTAAATATCTGATATGCAGGATGGTCTTAGGCGACCCCTGTGAAAGGGTCGTTCTACCGCCAAAGGGGTCGCGACCCACAGGTTGAGAACCGCTGCCCTAGGGCCTCCTGGGAAGCCAAGGCCCCTTCCATCTGGGAGGCAGCATCTCCCAAGATCCCCCAGAGTAGCACAGGCTCAGAACCCCAGAAAAGGTGCTCCGGGGTCTCCTGGGAGGTGGACCTGAGTCTGGGAGCCCTTGTGGTGGTAGATTTCCCATCAGGACCCAGGGCCATCCAGGCTTCAAACGTGAGGTGAAGGCCCTAGTGCCGTGATCGGCAAACTGCGGCTCGCGAGCCACATGCGGCTCTTTGGTCCCTTGATTGTGGCTCTTCCTAAGCCTTAGGAGTGACCTAATTAAGTTAATAACAAGGTACCTACCTATATAGTTTAAGTTTAAAAAATGTGGCTCTCAAAAGAAATCTCAATCGTTGTACTGTTGCTATTTGGCTCTGTTGGCTGAGTTTGCCGACCACTGCCCTAGTGGATGAGAAAGCTACAGTGCTCACTATTCTTTCTCATCCAGGGCCTTCCTTGGAGAGCCCATGCCTACATTTCCCGGCAGCCCCTGGGGCATGGGAGCGAGGACCCAGGAGCCTAAGCCCGGATGGGTTGAAATGCAGACCAAGGAATTCAATTTGGAGGCACAAGAGGATTTGCCAATGATAACATCACTACGACCAGTTCCTGAGCGCCCCCTGCGTGTGTGCCACATGCCAACCCTCTGACAAAGCTGTGAGTCCCATGTTACAGGCGAGGAAACTGGGGCTCAGGGAGGGAGAGAATCGACACGGCGTATGAATGGAATTCGGGTTCCACCGTTCCTGAGCTCTGTGACTGGGGGCAAAGGGACATGGGGAAGGGTTATGGGGACGGGAGGGACAGAGGGCGACCCACCAGCGGCTCCGGCCTCACCTCCTTGAGGTCGCGCTGGAGCTTGACGTTAGCTTCCTCGGCCTTCCCCAGCTCGCGGTGGGCGGTGCCCAGCTCCTCCTCCAGCTGGCTCATCTGGCGGCACAGCACCGCCAGGCGCTCCCGCAGCTGGCACACCTCCGCGCGCTGCCGCTCCAGGGCCTCCTCCAGCTCAGCCGAGCGCCGGTTGGATTCGCCTCCAGGACCCAGGCCATTGGCAAGGGCCTGAAGTGGGGGCCGTGAGGAGGGAAGGGACAGAACCCAGAGCGGGGAAACAGAGACAGAAAGAAAATGCAAGGTAAAAACACAGCTGATGGCGGGTGAGTGGACAGAGTGAATCAAAGATCAGTAAGGGTGCCCTGCTGGTGTAGCTCAGTGGTTTGAGCACCGAACTATGAACCAGGAGGTCACGGTTTGACTCCCAGTCAGGCGGGTCCATCCCCAGTAGGGGGTGTGAGGAGGCAGCCGATCAATAATTCTCTCTCATCATTGATGATTCTCTCTCTCTCTCTCCCTCTCCCTTCCTCTCTCTGAAATCAATAAAAATTTTAAAACTTTAACAATATATCAGTAAGGGTCTTAGAGGTCACAGTAGTTAGCGAGGTGACCTGAATCAGGTCCTAGGAGCTCAGATGTCCCAGGGTCAGTGAGGATCATAACAAACATTAAAAGGACCATCACGGCCCAGCTGGCATGGCTCAGTGAGTGAGCGCTGACCTATGACCTAGGAGGTCGGGGTTCATGCCCGGGTTGCGGGCTTGATCCCCAGTGTGGGGCGTGCAGGAGGCAGCCAATCCATGATTTTTTTCTCATTGTTGATGTTTTTATATCTCTCTCCCTTTCCCTTTCTCTCTGAAATCAATAAAAAACATTTTTTTAAAAAAAAGGGGCCATCATGCCCTAGTTGGTTTGGCTCAGTGGATAGAGCATCGGCTTGCAGACTGAAGGGTTCCGAGTTCAATTCCAATTGGGGGCACATGCCTGGGTAGCGGCCTCGGTCCCCAGTGGGGGGCGTGCAGGAGGTGGGAGAGAGAGTCAGAAACATCCATGAGAGAGAAACATCCATCAGCTGCCTCCTGCACACCCCCCAGTGGGGATGTGCCCGCAACCAAGGTACATGCCCTTGACCGGAATCAAACCTGGGACCCTTCAGTCCGCAGGCCGACGCTCTAGCCACTGAGCCAAACTGGACAGGGCAACAATATATTTTTTTTAAAGAAAGAAAGAAAAAAGGGACCATCACAAAGTCAGAGGGGAGCGTGGAGGTCAGAGGGATGAGGATCAATGAAGAGCGAAGGGAGCGAAGGACTTCCACCTCTTACCTGCCCGTCCCCATCCTTGCCCGGCTCCTCCAGCCCCGATCGGCGCCTGGACAGCTGCTCTCGAAGGTTCAGAGTCTGGAAATGGGAAAGGGAAATCGGTGCAAAAGGAAGACTAGTTCCTTCCCACTGGCCCCAGCTGTCTAAGGAGAGGCCATGGGAGCCCGGGTCCGGCTGGGGCTGCCCTCAGACCCGGTGCTCTCCTATCTCTCCTTAGCTTCCCAGCAGGGATGGAGTTGGCCTTACTCTTGTCCTCTTTAGCCCGACTTTTCCCACTCAAACATTCCCTCTCAGAGTGGGCTCTTCCCGTTGGCCCCGGTTCTCACCTCAGTCTCACGTTCACTAGGCAGTTCTCCTCCAAGCCCTGAGGGGCCCCACTGGTTCTCTCCATAGTCCAACCCCACTAGATCTCTGCTCTAGTCCCGCCCCCAACAGATTCTGGAACCCAGAACCAGCCCACCCCATTGGGAGCTCCTGAGCCCTCCCTCCCCTTCCTGGCCTCACCTCCTGGTTGCTCATCTCCAGCTCCTCTTCTAGTACAGCCACCCGCTCCAGCGCCATCCGCAGCCGCTCCCGGACCTGGGGATGGGGCAGGATGGGAGTGAGATGGAGATCAGATCCAATGTAGGACAGTTGGCCATGGTGAAGAATGCCCTGGAACGGGCCTCGTAGGGAAGGTTAGAGTTCCTCCATCTATAATGGATGTGCAGCCCCAACCTGCCACCAAAGCTTAGCCCGGCCACGGGTAGCCCCGCCCTCGGTCACTTTTCCATGATCAACCAGTGAGGTCAGCCTGCAGAGATAGGACACCCCAACCAACCACAGCCAGAATCTCTGCAGCTCAGGACAGCCCCAGCCACCTGCGGGCTTCCCTTCTACAGCCAGGCTCTTCCAGTCGCATACCTTCTCATCCAGGGCCTTGTGGTGCTCGAAGAGGGATTTTAGAGCCTTGAGCACCTCCACCTCCGAAGAGACCCCGCCCGGGGACTGGGCCTGGCGCTTCACCACGGTCATGCGCAGTGACCGCTCGTGTCTGGACACCAGGCACTCCAGGTGTTCCAGCAGTAGCTGCAGGGACAGGACACCGGGTCAGAGGGGCAAGGGAAGAGAGGCAGGGTCGACGGGAAATGTGGCTCAGACAGGTGGGTTGGACACATGGGGAAAGAGGTGAAGCCAAGCAAAAGGTAAGGAACGAGGCAGGTCAGTAAGAGAGGGATCTCCGGGGTAAAGGGCGGGGTCAGGGAGGAGTGGCACCGAGACAGAGGCCGTTATGGAGAGGGGGAGAGACGGGAAGGAAGGAGGGGACCAGAGGACACCAGCAGATGAGTGGGAGCAGGGAGAAGACAGGACCCCAGGTGGTCGGACCGCAACACCGCGAGCCCCCACCCCCACCCCCACCCCGCCTGCAC